CATTTGAACAAATCTGACACTTTCTGACTATTAGCCAAAATATCTTATATTATAACTTGAACCTTGAGCTTTATTCTTGTCACTTCTATATCTTCCACGATAGGTAATTAATAGAATTCGTACTCTCACTTCAGGCACAAACGCACGATCTGGAGTATGAAGAAATTAAAACACCCTAGATGTCATTGTAGCCTCCCCGATATAAGTGTGGCCGACAACACACCGATAAGAGGGACTCTACTTGACACAGCTCCATAGACTTCCTAGGACTCGACTTAGAACCTAGGGCTCTGATACCAAGTTTGTCACGATCTAAATCTACGTGACCGGCACCCGGCACACTACCCGACCCGAGTGAACCAACCCATATGATGCACCCAAATCATGTGCATGAAAATCAATTTAATTGCGGAAGCTCCTTGAAAACCATATACATTTTCAAGTTAAATGATAAAATATTTTCCAATTCAAAATCACACATGACACCCTTTCATGATAATAATAATGAGAGTAAGTAAAATAAATATACTTCCATGAATGTCACGTACAACCCCGTTACTACAACCTTTTACAACCATCTATGGAGCCTCTATAACAAAGAATAGAACCAACGGTTGGAGAAATTCCAACAAAATAAAACTAAGGAAGAACATGATAGCTACCACGAAATAAAAGTGGTGCTTCATAATACCTTGGAAAGAGAGTCATCCTGGCATGACCGCATACCATGTATCATACATCATCTTGAAACATGTAAAGTAAGCAGGGCCCTGGAGGGGGCCCCTAAGGGCTGAGTACACCACAGCGGTACTCAATAAGTGTCATAGACTCTCTCTAACTTAAGTTCTTGGGATAGACTTTATAAAAATAATGCACCAATATTTGAAATAAAACGATAAGAAATTCTATCAATTCATGACCCTTGTTGTTTTGAACCAAAGCTAAGTGAAATATAACCCACAATATGAACTTTAAAATGCTTACACCAATCCAAGATTTTGGATAAAATCATACAAATTCATTTCATTTGCTTTAAGTCATTGAAATCACTTTTGGTTCCTTAGGTCTAAACATAAGAAAATCATCCTTACCTTTCACTGGGAGTACCATACCATCACCGACATAAGAAGGTCAATTAGGTTATGTACCTAGCGGCAAGTTTCATATACCCTACTTGCCCAGGTCGTCTCATCGTAATGTCGTACGAATCGACTCAGCCATGCTAATAATAGCACAAAATAGTACTCTCTCGAGGGAGAGCACTCTGCCATAGTCTATACCACAAAGTGGCCATCTACACCTACACCGACACGTGTAGTTTCATAACGACAAACACAATATATCCGAAGTCAATCTCGGTGAACACAAGTAACTCCCTAAACATTTGATACTTCAAAAATAGATTCATAGCATAGTAGCTTCAAAAGATCTATTTTTATCAAATCATAGCATTAATATAAAATCTAAATCATTTGAACAAAAATTAAATAAACAACCTTTTGCATGCTAAAGCCTTTAGCAATTTAACATCAATCTTTAAAAGATACTACAAGGGCTATTCTGCATATCAATTTCCAAAAGAAATACTTTCCATGAAAACTTTTCTTGAGCACTCAAATATGTATACTCTTGTCAATACATAAGTTTTGATAAAAACTTATAACATTTACCTTGAGTTTCATTTAGCCAATAAGATTTAAAATAAAATTTTACAAAACGGCATAACACTACATATGCAACATAATATTTTAGTACATGGAGACATCCGTACTTGTTTGTCTCCACAAGTACGAAAGCACATTTGCAAACAATTTAAGTATTAACTTGAAACATGCTTTTAGAGAAAGTCCCTGAAGAAGAGTAAGTTTTAATCAACTTACCTCGCTTTCGCTTTATTAACATTCACAANGCTTTATTAATATTCACAAGCTTTCAATCCTCTTCCATCATTCCAATGTTGATTATAAAGCTCAATATCACCAACTGTAAGTACGTGATTTTTGCCCTATATGAGAATTACTCCCAAAAAATTCAAAAATAAAATGATTTTTCTTTGGTGTACAATTTTGTGATATTTTGAAGAATTATTTGTATTTGTCTGTGCGTGTTTATTCGCTAAATTAATAAAAAATACAAAAATATGTCGCATTTTGCANAAAATAATTAAGAGATTTTCTTTTATTTTAGAGACGAACTTAATAGAAAATATAGTCATTGTAAGTTTATCCTTTAAAAATAAAAATGAGACGAGCCTCGCCAAATAAAACGTATATATTGCGGGGCCCTCACAAAATGTATGGTTTAATTAGAATTCGGAAGGACCGTTTAGCGAATTTCACGGTCTTCCCCAAAATAATAACGCGATAGTCTCTTTAGGCGCGTGTTTAATATTTTACTTTCTTAAGCCTGGGTGTGCATTTCATGTGACCCGAATCCAAATCCCAAAACATCAAATAAAACGTGTTCCGGATTGTGGGTGCATTTCATGTAACGCAGTCCAAAGACGTGTTTTAAGCGATGTTCATATTTCTTTTAAAAACAATAATAATAAAGCGGTTAAAAGATAAAATTTGCACATAAGTTCATATTTGTATAAAATCAGATAATCAAGCCGAATATAACAGTTGAGCGACCGTGCTAGAACCACGGAACTCGGGAATGCCTAACACCTTCTCCCGGGTTAACAGAATTCCTTATCCGGATTTCTGGTACGCAGACTGTAATATGGAGTCATTCTTTTCCTCGATTCGGGATTAAAATTGGTGACTTGGGACACCCTAAATCTCCCAAGTGGCGACTCTGAAATAAATAAACCAATCCCGTCTCGATTGTCCTTTAATTGGAAAAACTCCCTTGCACCCTCGCGGGTGCGGAAAAAGGAGGTGTGACACCAACAAGTTGATATCTACAATTAAATATCCTAATTACATCAAAATATGACCTAAGATATTAAGCAATATCCATATATGGCTCATAAAGTGGCTACAAGCCTCCAACAACTCAATTCGCCAAAACAATTTATAAGCTAGACCATTCAACTTCATCCTTATATTTTAATACTCATTCGAAGTCACTAATGTTACTACATCCCTTGCCCAATGCCACCAAGTTACTATTCATCATCTTCCATAATCAAAACTTGCACCATATATAATTCGGATGATTATTTAGTTGATCACTTCCATTTTTTGCTAACAAATAATTCCATAGGTTCATTGTATTCAATCAATTTCATCCCCAAGATTCACCATTCATCTTCTCTCTTATTTCCTTAAATGTACTATTCATGCCATGAATTAGATTTTTATAATCCAATATTTCAATCAATAAAACTTGTAACAAGTACTTCAAATACTTCTAACTACTCATAATAAACAAGTTTGAAGCATTGAAATTACCTATAGTAGATCAATCTTGAAAAATAACAACTTTGGTGATTTTTGTGTTCTTGAGGATTTGATGATGAAATCTAGAATTTGGACATTAGAATGATGTTAGAACTCATGTACATTGAGTAATATCAACCCAAAACATCATTAAAAACTTACCTCGGCTGATTGGACTTGATTTGAGCTCAAAATCGCCCATTCACCTCAAGAACCCTAGCCCCCAATACTCAAAATACTCTCTCCCCCGACTTGGTATTTATAGGCCCAGATTTATGGGCTTCATACGCGACCTTGGATGCTATGGCAGCACTTCACTGCCAGTCAACCTTTCGGACACGGCTCCGGATGCTTCGCATCTGCAGGCTCTTCCGCCAGCCTTTGATAATTTGGTCATAACTTCTTGTAAGTATATCCAAATGACAAACGGTTTGAAGCGTTAGAAACTAGACTCAAAGACCTTTCATTTGATAGGTTGTCCATCACATAACTCTTTATACATATGTAGATATGCTCGTCCAAAGTTAGGTCTTGTGCGTACTTATTTGGAACTTTAGTCTACCATGTAATTTCCAACTTGACTTGGACTTAGGGCTATCCTTAGACCCCACATCACTTATAATATACCCCGTACACTTATTATCATATTCAATTAATAGTCATTATATTAATAGTCCTCGTCTGCATACAAAATAATGTAATTAACACACATCAACTTTCTTAATAGCACTTAAGTACTTCAAAATTTTCCGGGTTGCTACAATGCAATTCACAAGAAACTTTAATAATTTTAAAGTATTAAAAACAAGGAAGAAAATATATCAGGTGCATGCTCTCTTTTTTTTCTTTTCCCTAAAACTATCAATTTCTCATATCCATTTAGTAATTATTTTAGAAAGTATAAAACAAACGTTGGCGTTTTCTCTTACGAAGAATATTCTAAGAGATCCATTCCAAATAAAAAAAAATCAATTAGAGCCTAAAAGAAAAGAGAAACAGAAAAGGAGACAAAAAACAAAGTTGGACACGGATTCTTAAGATTGAATTTTCGCCAAATTCTAAAGCGATGAGAAAAAAATAGCCATGTAATACACATGCTGTAAACCTTTTTTTCCTAGTCACTTTACGTCGATGCAACCAAAATTTCCTAATGCCCCTAAGTACACAAACAAAAAATTATCCCTTCCTCAATTTGAAAACAACTTAAATATTTTTATTTTATCCTTAATGATAATTTTTATAATTACATAAATACTAGTATAATATATTTAAGATTACGAGTTATCCAATAGATCAAAATAATTTGTATTAATAGAATTCTAAGCTATGTTCAAAGTTTGGATACATCCCTCACAAAAAGTAGCTGGTATTCCACGCATAGAGAAAGTACGGGCAAAGTCACGCTACTGTTTTAACGAAAAGAAATATGGCAAGACTGAATTTTTGACCGAACCTTCACATAAAGAAAAAAAAACAAAATTAAATCGGGAAAATATTAATGGCCGTTCAAAATTGAACGAATTGCAAAAGTAACCAGTAGGTGTCTTCCGCGTTTTTAAACTATCAGACAATAAAATAAAAGGCCCAAAACTAAAAAGAAAAAAGAACCGACTTCACCATAGCCCATGCTATAAAGCCGCCTCCTTTTCTTCCTTGTTATTTCCTTGTACGCCACCAAAAACCTATAAGCTTTCTCCTTCTTCTTGCTTTCTACTTTCAGAAAATCAGAAAAAGCCTCAAATTCAAAAAATGGCATCTTTCGCAGAGGCACCACCAGGTAACGAAGCAGCAGGGGCAAAGATCTTCAAGACCAAGTGTGCTCAATGCCATACTGTGGAACAAGGTGCTGGTCATAAACAAGGTACACCTTCTTTTTTCCTTTCCTTTTTTATGTTATTTGTCTATTTTTTTTGTCAGATCTGGTGATTATGGTTCTCTTTATTTTTAGAAATTTATTGCTCTGATGAATTCTTGTTTTTTCCTTTATTTCTATGGCGAAAAAGTCTAACCTTTGATTGTTACTTTAGCAGATCTGCAATTACATCGAATTCTCTGTGTATTTTTAGATTTAAATTCATTTATCTATATATAGTTTTATCGACTTTTTTTTGGGTACTATATAGCGTATTATTTTTTATTCTTTATTTACCCCATTTTTTCCTAGCTTCACAAGATTTTGCTTGTCCCCAAATTAACAGATAGAATAGCAAAAAGATTTGCCTAACGTGTAGTCTGAGTTTAATGTTTTTTGTGATTTCTGATTATTGATTAGTTAGATCCCCAATTATAATTTAATTGTGATTTTACTTGGCAATAATTTATGAGAGGAACATTTATGAGTTCAATTGTGACTCATATAATTCTGTGGCAAACGGATTGGCTAGAAGTTGTTGCTTGTTCTTTCTGTCTGCTGTTTTTAGTTTTCATAATTTTGAAAGGAGTAGTATCTTAGTTTTGCAGGTGCTTTTCTGTATTTTCAGCAGCAGTTATGATAATCTTGATGTTTGATCAGCGAAAACATTATTACACTAATTGTGTCACTTCGATTATTCGGTTACGGTTGGGTGATTGAACTTGATTTTAGAATAGCTTGAAGAAACTGCTAGTTGAATAAGAAAATATGTTGCAAATATGCTTAACTGAAAACTAGGTTGCTCGATATCTTTGATAAATATATTTCTCTCTTAATTGACAAACTCACTGATGGTTTTGGTGAAAGAAAATTGGGTTGCTCCAGTTCTTTTGTTTCATTATGGAATTAGAATTTAGAAATGATTGCAGTGAGAGGTTTTTTTAAACATAATTTACGAATACATCTGTTGCTGACAAAAGGATAATTATGTTCTAGGTTTTACTTTTGTGTTGCTCATTCTATATATAAGATGGTACTTTCCCCTTTGGTTTTGCCATCGATATTTCCCCAAAATTCTTTTCATATTTTGATGCTTCCCTAAAGGTCCATGTTTATAATTATCTTTTTTTGGCTTATAACCATGCTGGATTATGTTAGTTGTGTTAGACTTTGGTATCTTCTCTGGGTGATTGCATGAAGATGTATACAGTTCTTTTGCTTTTATGAGTTCTGCTGTAACTTACAATGATATCCTACTTTTAACAGGACCTAATTTGAATGGACTTTTTGGAAGGCAGTCTGGAACTACTGCTGGTTACTCCTACTCTGCTGCCAATAAGAATATGGCTGTGATGTGGGAAGAAAAGACTTTGTATGATTATTTGCTCAACCCCAAGAAGGTATGGTTAACGTTATCATTATGCTAGATTTTTGTGTTTACCACGGAGACAAGGTTGTCTGATGGGACAACATAATTGCATAACTTTTCTTGTGGAAATTGCATTTCATATCATGAATGTATATGCATATTGTAGTTCCTTTTGTTTTCTGCTTTCTTGTGTTTCCTTCCATTAGAATCCGCCTTTCCCTTATTTGCAATTCTGTTGATTGTTTTTACAGTACATACCTGGAACAAAGATGGTTTTCCCTGGTTTGAAGAAGCCACAGGAGCGTGCAGACCTCATTGCCTACCTGAAATCTGCTACTGCCTAAGGAATTACCGACAGATATTTTCTATTTTGTAGTCTGATAGGCATGTTTTGCTGTGCGGAGGAAGATAAACCATTGATTTTTTGAAGTAATAAGTTGACCTCTTTTGGTCTGGCTCATTTGTTTCCAGAGCACTGGTTCATACAAAAATTTTTGTTACCTTCTGAAGAAGAGGTGAAAAACACTTGGCAGACAATGCCAATTTTAATATCATTCTCTTATGACTATGTCTTTGGTGGTGTGTTGCTTTTCTTGGTCTTTTCTCTTATTCAATGCAAATTTAAAGGTATAAATGATCCACTGCATAATAAGATACAGGTATATGCATTGATGAATTGTGTCTTAAAGTCCAAGAAATGCAACATTCTGGATGAAAGAGCGTTGCTCTAGATTATTTGAGTTTGCAGGGTTTCAAGTTTTTAACCGAAATTGTCCTTTAAAGTATAGGATTAGGTCTACTTTTGCCCTTGATATTTCAGCTTGAACACTTGAGGATGAAGTTGCTCTAAACACAATGTGCAATGAAGGATGAACATGATTGCAAGATAAAAAGCATGTAGCTTCGCATGTAATTAGGGATTAAGGGTGAAGAGGGAAAAATGGTGATCTAGGAAGTCAGACCTCTATTTGGCTCATGATTTTACTGTCATTTGCGGTGCACATGCGATGGTGCTGTTAGTTACATGCGTTCTGTTTGCACTTGTCGTTAAGTTGGTCTTATGTGCATCATTTTAATAAAGATAATAAGTGCTCAACGTGAAGTATCAAGGACAAAATTAGATATAGTCCTATACTTGAGGGATAATTTTGGTTAAAAACTCATTCTGACAAGCTCTTTTTGGACACTAAACATTCCCTATTAGTATTAAGAGAATGTATCTGCATACCTCTTGACTCTGATAGTTGTCTGCCTAATGGGTTTGATAATTGTGACAGACAAAGGCAAGGATCAGCGTGTTACACTGGTTGACCGGCTAGAGATTAACTCCTTTCATTGTTGCCCGTATAGATAGCTTTACAGAGCAAAGATCCAGCAAGGCATGACATTGGATGCATCATTGTGCTGTGCTGAGTCAAAGTATCGAATTTTGCAAATCATGGAACTGCCAAAGCTTTTTGGTTAAAAGAGTTGATAGTTTGTTACTAGAGAAATCAGGCAAATAAACCACTACGCTAAATTCTATTGTCACACTAATGCATTCCAGACGTTATTATTCGACTCGCCGTGAACCAAGTGCCAACCAAACAACCTCTTTTCTATGTCAAGTATCATGAAAACAAGAGCGTATGGTTAGTGTCATTCATATGGATAACCAGTAAAAACAGCTTTAGTGCCATTGACAATTAATGTTGTTGATTCATGGAAAGAACTTGTGTTTTCAATCCTTGAGTTCCTCAGCTTTAGAGATGGTTTCCCTTGAGACAAGCAACTGTACAAGTTTAATCTTGAAGGAAAGGGGGAGGAGAGTGAGATAAAGAATACAGATGGGGAGACTAAGTACGTCGTCCTTTAGTAAGAAACAAAAGGTGACACGTTTTTAAATGGTCTTGTTTGCCAAATCGAAAATTTATTATAGCTGACAACTCTATGTACAATCTCTATTAAAACATTCGCCAACATGCTCCCAAAGGATCCTCCAGCGCAAGCAACTAGAAGCTACAAATGCAAACTGTTAAATTCTTATTCTGCAACAGTACAGTATTCAAGGTTTTGACCGAGGGGGTCGACGAAGTCCAGGTATCTGCAAGCAAAGTCACGTCAAAATGCATCGTTAATGAAAGTTGTAAGCAAATGATATGCTTACATGTAACATTGCCAGCAACAACAACTATGCCTCAAATCCCAAACATGTAACACAATTAAACTATGCTTTATTCCCAAAGGAAACCAAGATATTGAAGAGCAAAAGCATTTGGAATTCGATGAGGAACAGCCTAGACCATCCACCTCTAACAATAAAGCCGGAGGTTTGAGTTCACTATGGTCTAAGGGTACATGGGGTGAGTCTTACCATACCCAAAAAAGTAAAATAAGGAGAAAACAAAAACTTTTTGGATCTTAATATATCATGTTAGACACTTCAAAGTAGTTAGAAACTAACCTCAATTCCATGTGGGCCTATTCGATTATGGGAAATGAAATTGAGTAGCAAAGTAGCAAATTCATCAGGAACATCTTCCTGCAGTGTTCAAAAGACAAGCAAATATTCAGGAGATGCAATTTCAGCTAAAACAACTGGCATCTTAAGAAAACCAAAATGGACCTGTATAGCGTGGCCTGTGTGTCTGACAACCACCATTTGGAACTTCCCTTGCATTTGACCTATTGTGAGGGCTCTGTAACAATAAATGGACAAATTAGTCTCATGCCTATTTAGAACACAAACGAGAAAGATGTAGTTCATGCTTCTAGCTTTAAGCGTTCCCAATAGCTACTACTTAAGCTTTTATAATCTTTTACCAGAACAAAATGGATCTATGTTAACTGCAGATTCTATTTTGTAGTATCTCATTGATGGCAATGCGTTGCAAAATACATTATATCTGGACAAAATATATCGATAGAGTATAGCATCATGGAAAACATAAATAGGATATAACTTAATTCTAACAAATTCAATGGTATATCCAAGCTTTAAGCTAGAATGGAGACTTCTTTTTCTTCTTTCCTTCTGTTTTTTTTTTGGGGGGGGTTGAAAGAAAGTAAGGTAGTTACAATGAAGGGTATTCCCACCAGAAAACTGTTGGAGTGCAGTAAAAATCACAGAGACATCTATCTACTGAAAACTAGGTAATTTTCATTTGCATGTTCTGAAAGTTAGTTGATTACGTGAGATTTGGTTGGAGAACCCTATATAAAATGGTTAAACAGTGTTAAGCATAAGCACACCGTTTTCTCTACTATCTTTGTATATCTATTTCAGTTACATTAGTGGTAGTAAGGAGAGTGCTAAAGGAGAATAAACTTTTCTGAAAACAAATGATAAATTCTTAGTTCATGGACATGCAATGGGAATAAAAGGAATGTAATCCTTATGTGATTTGATAGACAAATGGCAGCCCTTTATTACTTCCACTGATAATTCCTCTGTTTGCTGCTTGTTTCTTCATAATACTGAATAGTGACAAGTCTCTAGAGATTCTAAGCAGACTTTGGCAATTCTGCTTTGTGTAAGCAGTTAAGAATAATACAGATTCCCAACTAGTAAATAGTTAACTGGGAGAAATTGGCTGGCATTTAGAGATACTTTTGCCAGAAGGAATGGCCATGCAATTCCTCATTACAAGTGAATCTGCAAGTACTATAATGTTTAGGAAAGCCATGCACATCAATTGTTCCAACATGACTCACTGAGAAGTAAGATCAGATCATCAGAAAAGGAATACACAGAAGAACCATCTCTTACATAACCACAGATCAGAAAAGGAATATACAGAAGCATGTCTCATACATAATCACATAGTGTTGAAGCTTCATGCATGCTAAAGCATATGCAATTATAGAATTCCACGTGACCTTCGATACAGAGAGAAGTACACAACCTGTCAAGTCTGTCTGTCCCTGCTAACAGCAATATCTTTGGAACAGGAGATGACAAAAACTTTTCTGAAAGGCCTTCGTACCTGAAACAAGAGCATTATAATTTCAGGTTCAAATTGACATGCTGGAAAATGGAAAACAAGATGCTCAGCACTAGACCTCTGGAAGCATGACACAGACTGCAAAATTAAGAGAACTTCTCGAGTCTACATATAGTCAATGCCGTTCTAAAAGGACCGTAGCAGTTAGAGAAACCCTGAGGGAATAAAAAGAGCAAATTTATTTGAAAAGGAGCTTTAACTTGTGCAGCAGGTGCTATATTGTGAGACTAGCTAAGAGATTATCAGTCATTTGTTTTGCATTGCAATCGTGTGATTAATTCGAGCGAACACACACTCAGAGTCAGTGGCGGAGGCAGAATCTCCACGAAGGGGGTTCAATTTTTTTTTTTTGTAGCTAGTGGGAATTGAACCTATGAACTTATGAAAGTTTTGAACCCTCTTGACCACTAAACGACACTTTTGGATTGTGATAAGTGGGTTCAAAACTTAATATATAGAGGTAAAAAACAGATTTTGTCTTATATATACAGTGTAATTTTTCGGCGAAGGGAGTTCGGGTAAACCCCCTTCCACCCCCCTAAATCCGCCCCTGCTCAGAGTAACACACTCAGAATTAGTCCTTTTCATTTTGAGTGCTTTTAGTGTTCATAATAAATCGCAAAAGTATCTTGTTCTACTAACTTTTGGTTTGTTTTTCTTTAAAGGAAAGAGTTACAAGAATACGCACTTCTACCAATGTCGAACACTAAGCATTTTGCAGACAATTCAGTGATTGAAGGCCACTTCAATAATAACTCAAAGTAAGGATAAGTTAATGTTGTGATTGAATTTGTTTGGGCTACATAGATGCCTGCCAATGTGAAGGCAGCTGTAACCAATTGGGTCAGAAAGAAATCATTGGTGTTCTGAAGAAAGATCAGAAGCAATATCTTGTGTAAATTTAGAAGTCTTCAACTAATGAATATTTGGTGTAGTAAGAAAATTATACATGATTTAATCAATGTATCGAACTTCAGAGGCCCCTTACATATTTAAAGGAGCAAGTCCATTAAAATTTGTCACTTCCCAGTGCTTTCTTGGTGCTGTTTAAAATATAATTCATGCCTTACTTATCATAAAAAGACTAAATATTCATTCTGTTTGACGTAATAATTTTCAGCGTGGCCGCTATCTAACTGAATGAATGACGACCATAACCTTCAAGATCACAAGCAAAGGAGAAGAAAAATAAAAAAAGGCTTTTTCTTTTTTAAATTGTTAGAGAACCAAAAAACATTTTTTTTTATGAAGAGAATTTCATTAGAAGGCATCAAGAAGATGCATAGCAAAACAATACAACATAAGAGTGTCTTCTCATGTACAAAAACTTAATAACTAAGGAGCAGACACAAACTGAGGCATAAACGGCGCAGACCAGAAAACAGTTTCCCCCCCCCATAAACTGAGGCTAATTGCTAGAAAATTGATGCAACACAGTCCCAAATGGTCTCCTAGGACCCTAAATACAAGATTTCGTGTTTCTAAAACAGCATAATATGTCAGGATATGCAAAAGATCTAGATTGGACAAGCAGAAAAGAATAGCTCGTACCATTCTCTCCAATACTGCTCAGTTTCTTCCAGTCTTGCTCTATGCGTGTAACTGCAGTATAAGTCTTTGGTTACGCACCATTGTTTTAATTCATCATATTTCAATTAGCAGAAAACCTATCTAATCACCTAAGTCCGAAAACAGAACTGAAAGAAAGAACTCCAGCCCCCTTCCCCAGTACCATCCCAAAAATAAAAAAGAAAGAAAGGAAGATATGCTAAACATATGACATGGTTACGCACCATTTTTTTGATTCATCATATTTCAATGTGTTGGGGATTGATACACGAGCAGAGTCAATATTTCTCAAAGAGCCTGATTTGACACTCCATTCAATCTGTAGATGCATAAAACTTCCAAATAAAAACTTGAGAGCCTCAACAGATCTAAGGACTCAGAGGAGCTCATATAAAACTCATATCCTAAGTCCTAACCAAGCAGAAACTCAACATAGGAAAAACAAGCATAAACCATGATGTTTTCTGGATAAGTCAAATAAACCATGCTATGTTAGAGGGTAGGAAATAGCTTTATGAGTTAAACTTCACAACGTAATGGTGTCGAAGTTAACTTAAGATGACAAGAAAATGTCATATCGTAAATTTATGTAAGATTGTTCACCTGATTAAATGAAATTGGGATTGGTGGTCAGACTGTCTTTTTCAACAAAAACTAACAAAAATAAGTGACTAGATTGATTATCTACTCAATGACGCGCACTTATTATGATGCGATTAACCAAGCATCTGTTATATACAACCTTGTGTTAAGAAAACAGCAGGAACATAATATACGTAATTGAAATAGAGACTACTGCATTGTTCTCCCTCCTGCTGATACTGAATTTCAGATTTTCACGGCAAAATAAGTTTCTTCTTTTGGTTGGGCGNTGGAAATCAGTACATAAAAAGGGCAGCCCATTGCATAAAGCATCCCGCATTCACGCAGGATCCAGGGAAGGGCCGCAAAGAGGAGTGATATAGACAGTCTACCCTAATGCAAGCATTAGTGGCTGATTCCACGGCTCGAAACCGTAACTTATATGTCACACGGAGACAACTTTACCGTTGCTCCAAGGCTCCCCTTCCCGGAAATCAGTACTTAATGAAACAAAAATCATATCTCTAACAAGTTAGAAAGATTGAAAACCTCAACAACGTCCACAACCACCAAGCCAGCCAAACTTGGAAGTGATTTTTTTGCAGCAACGTCAACTGCAACTGCACCTCCCATACTGTGACATAATTAGAAAACTCTAAGTCCAACTATTTATTGTTAAAGACTGGAATGATATGTGCACACGCATTCACTCACAAACAGAAAGTGAGACAGAAAGAGAGAACAATTCACAACTTATTTGTGGTACAGAAAACTTCTAACCTAAGCATGCAGTTAATTAAAATAAAAAGCAGAAATAGTTCATTCATAGCAGGACTAAAACTCCGTTTGAGTGAAAGGTTTACATCCTATTCTTATACTATCAAACCATTTTCATTCTTAGTAACAAATATATGGGAACAAATGACAAGAATCCAGACCAACCAAGAAAAAGAGAAAGGAAATAAAGATACATTTCAGGACTCTTCAGACTGGAAGAAAATGGGAAAAGGCGAAGAAATGCGGCACATCAATGAGTTAAAAGTTCTAAGCAACTATAGATCTGATGGATGCAACAGAGATCGATTTGGTTTACAGACCACTGCAACACTAATACAACTAACTCCATTATTAAATTACTGAGTTATTGCTCTTTCTCACAAAATAAAAATACTGAGCTAGCGTAAACAATGTCAAGGAAAATTACGTCCAAGTGAAAAGCTCTGTGCCTCGTAGCTTGCAGCTACTTAGCAACGATATAATACATTATCTTTTATTTAACTAAACACAGCAGAGATGAGAGCGAGAACGTCCTCCAAAAATTTTTGCATGAGCAGAAATGGCTTCTTTAGATTTGTATACCAAGGCCAGAATGTAATATACTATCTCCGACGAACTGATCCTTTATTTGTCCTAAAACTGTATGATCTTGGAACTGATGTTTTCAGTTAGTATATCAACCTAAAACTTATTTGGGATTGATCTCCTATGGGTTGTTCCACTCAGTAGTGCATAAACCTTTAGTGCTATAAGTAGACATTTCACTACTAAACAAAGTTATTCCAAACGTAGTAACTAGTCAAACAAAGGCGTGAAAATTTGAATGCGAACTAACTTCATGAAGAAAGTACAACCTGTGGCCAACAAGAACAATTGCAGGCGGAGCATCTCCATACATTGTCTTCAAAACAGAAAACACATCACCGCATAGCGTCTGCAACCAACAACACCACCATAACATGGAAATGGGGAAAAAGAGTTTCACAAAAGCATCAAATACTGAAGCTCATAGTAGTAAGATACATCTTTCGAAAGTACCTTAATGGACAAATCAACGTCATTTTGTGTAGCTGACTTTCCATGTCCCCTGAGATCCATGGCTACTATCCTAGCTTTCTCCTTAAGTTTGCTTGCTGCCAATGCAAATGAGAGCCTGAGAAAATAAAACCGCACAGATTTAACATAATGTTTCTCGTTAATTGCCATTTCAAAACTGATGCTTAGCTACAAGATACAGATAGACGAGAGAGCAAGCAAAACCATTCACCAACAGGCTCTGTACCTTCCAACAGAATACAAATTTTCCAAGCATCTAGGGATTAACTAAGGAATTCACCAGAGAACTGACCACAATGAATAAGAACATGGGCACAAAGAATGTCCTGAGACTGTTTACTGACATCTATTCTCCTAAAAAGGGAGTCAATAAAGTTGATTCTTGAACAGAAGAGTGTTGGCAAAGCAACATAACTGACAATTAAGTGAAACCCATAAAGAGGTTGTATTATATTCGACTAAATTCTCAAAGACACCATGTAGATTTTTACTAGCTCCTTTTCTTCATTAAGTTTCTCTTCGTAAGATGAAAGCTTCCATATCTCCCGAAAGTTTCTTGTGCTTTTTTTGGAATAAATTACATAAACTTCATTTAAAGCACACCAGATGATGTCAAGAGCATATAAAATATAAATTTTTGGTTCAACCACAATCGGAGCTGTGGACATTGGGTTTCTCCTTGTTCAACGTCTCTTGGGTTCTCTCAAGGACAATGGATTGAGTCTTAGCTAGATCAATGATACAGACATTTGCAGAGATAGGAACACAGCTTGGAGGACTATCTCACTAAGTCTTCTTTGATCTATTTAGAGTTGGAGAAAGAAGAGATTGTTCCATACTAGCAAGCAATAATGTTAGGAGCAATAAGAAAATTATTTCTTCTTTCATTAATTGTTTTGGTCTAAGCAGTGAATTTTGCCTTTTAATCCATTAATTTGCAGCAGTTACACTAAGGACAAGGTTCCCCCTTCAAACTGTATCAGCATACCATTCTCCACTCCTTAACCATACCATTCGGCAACCAAATACTATTTTCTACCAAATGTGAGAACAAAGAAGTGCACGCTTTCCCATTTGGCTCTTCCTATTCCTCTTTTTCTTAATCTTTCTGGAATCTTCTGCACTTGGTCTATGCTACATGGCCTCAGGTAGTAATGAAGCTTACAGATTCATGTCTGATTTTCCTAGGCTTTTTATTTAGAACATGTGGATGATGCTAAAAAGTTTGGCAGAAGCAGGTTAGGCACAGTATGCATCAATTTCAAACTAAACTATTATCATTTTAAATAAAGGAGCTGCTATACATCTTTTTCTGGATCTTCTTTCTCAGGTTATTAGGTTAGGCCATAAAAACTGATCCTCCCCTTTTTCCCTCCAAGTCACCTGCTTCTAAGACCAGCAAAGCTCCTTATTTTTTGTGGATTTTGTTGTATTATTAGTCCGTTAGCACAAAAAGATTGTGCCATAGATACAAGAGATGTAAGAACAAACATGCAGAGTGGAGAACACTCCCTTATTTGGATGTCATGATTCGAATTCTTTTATGGTCATGATTTCTTAAAAGAAAGTTGAAATGTTCATTTCCTAACTTATTAAATTTTTAGCAGGAAAGGTGAAAAAGTATGGTTCAAATGAAAGTTTGTTCCCATGTCATTTTTGTTAGTAAAGACCAAAGAGAAAGCAGAAATTAAATGTCTTTGTTATGATCTAAAACTCATCTGGAACAAAACCTAAAGTGAAATGTGGCTCTACACTTTGTAAATACAACTGCTGAAACAGAACCATAAGAAAAGCTAAGTAAAAAGAGTACACCTACCCGCAATAACCACCACCATGCAGGCAAAAAACAACAGGCCCTTCAGTCCCTGCCATATAAACATGAAATACCTGAAATGACAAAGCAAATAAAAGATGATCTTGCTACTTGACTACGAAAAGAAGAGCATAAAGAAAGTAGTAAGGACAAAAAACAAAGTAATACTATGATAAACTCTCAGGCAGACAGAAATATTTTTGTCAAGAAACAAACTGAGTTTTCAAATACTAAGAAAATTCAACAGAACTAGAGAAGTTAGAACCAACATCATCTGAGTCTGGGATCTGAATATCATCTTCTCGATCGAAATAATCTGACCAATCTAAAGGTGCATATTTCTGTGAAGATGTCCTGCAGCAATAATTAAGACAATTTTTCAGTCAAACTATGTGATTAATAAAAAACAACAAATTTCGTGGACCAAAAAAAAGAACTCTACACTTCTACAATTCTGGTGTTTAATTGCAAACAAAGACACCTTTGTCTAACCTGAAGCTCCTAAAAGAGCTCCCCGATTACTAATATGCTGGCATCAAGTAGAAGTTTTTAATTTTATTTAGTACAATATAAATTTCACTAACTGCACTTAAGGACAATGAGCCTTTGATATCGCACACTTGCTGAACAAATTCTAATCTCTTAGCGAAATTTGTGTGATGAAAGCTTCCTGGAGGGCAATCCATTCAAACATGCTGCTCTAGTGGGTGCCTTAGTTATGCATTTTATCTTCCATGTCCGTTCTATATTTTATGTTATCCTCTCTACTTAAACTTTTATTGCATGACTCACTGTAAATTTTCCCATCTCTACTTGCTTTACATTTTATATTACCAGGGATCTTCGATACTTCCTTCACATCTCCAATCATACTAAGTAGTAAGTAGTTCAGCCACTCTATCAACCTCCCAGTCAATCATTTTTGCAGTCTGCAACCGCTTCCTCCTGATTCACCACTAGTGGGTACATATGTAAGAGAGGTGAGCTTCAAAGGTTGCTGATTAAATCAACCATCTTGCCACATTCTTATCTTCCTTCCATCACCTATTTGCAGTTGAACTTTTGTTGAAAATCTCCTCAAAAGACTGCTTAGATGCTTCAATAGACCCACCCCACTGCCAGAGCAGGTTCAGGTATTCCAAAAACCATAGATTCCATATTTTATCACATTTTGATCTCTTTCCATAAGTCTAGTTGCTCATCGTCAAACCTCTATAGCCATTTTAAGGGTAGACTTCAGGCAATTTCAGATCTTTTACTCCCAAGCCGAAAAATCTCTTAGGTGTTATTATTCTGGACCATTTTATACTACAGGACATCTTATTTTAGTTGCTTTTGCATAAGAAGTACCTCATTAACTTGTTCAGTTGTTTGACAATTTTTTTGGGGAATGTGGTGCAGTGACATATAGATAGTGGAGCATCAAGAAGTTCTCAACACTAGAACAACTTAGCAGTTCTCTTCCGTTACAAAAAAGAAAATTAGTAGTTTTCTTAATGCAAATTGAACTTGCGCTATCTATGGAGAATGGAGTGGAGTGACTATTCTTAATAATCCCTTTCCTATCTCCTCCTTTTTGGCATTGGTCTATTATGGGCTGACTTGGCTGAGCATTGTCATTAAAAATGTGTTGCTTCACATTAGTTAGAACTCAACTCTGCTATAGCATATATGTTACTATCATAAGAGTCACTGTGCTGTCAAAAAGGCACTTGAGCTCCATCATTTTCACCCTACCGTCCTCACATAAGACGCAAATAGTCGGTCACCCACCTTCCAACAACAAGGAAGCGAGCCTTATAAAAGGGATAAATTGTAGCTCCACCTGTTTCGTCCACCTCTCAAAAATGAAGGGGACACTTCAGTGGTGAAAAATAGTAAAATACTACTCCCTCTGTTCCAATTTAAGTGACATTCTTTTCTTTTTAGTCAGTTCCAAAAAGAATGACACATTTCTATGTTTAGTAACAATTTAACTCTAAACTTTCCATTTTTATGAGATGATTTATAGCCACAGAAATTTCTTTGGCTTGTTTTAAACCATAAGTTTCAAATGTTTTTCTTTCTTTCTTAAACTTTGTGTCCCATCGTACACCAACACATAAATTGGGATGGAGGAGTATTTCCCATACTAAAGGCCAAATCTCTAATCAAAATGCAGTTAACATCCCCTTCCCACTGCAACTGTTCACACCATTCACCAAATACATGATATCTACATCTCCAGTAATTTTTCTACTTCCCAATATTGCCTTCGATATAAATAACTAAATATGTGTGGAGCCACTGTAAGCTTTTATAGGCTTTTCAATTGTCAAACAACATCAGATCATATTTTCTTAAAACTTTGACATTTAGAAGAACTAAAATTATGGGTCAAAGGGAGTAAAAGTTGAAACTCCTTCTACAAGGTGCAAAATGAAACACCAAGTACCTTTTTCAGCTTAAGGTCCTCAAATTAGCACTTCTCGTTCTTGCTTCTGCTCGTCATTCCATCTGACAGGATTCTTTATCGAATTTATTTGGAATTTGACGAATTTTTACATCAGCTTTCCATCCAACAGAAGAAATTCTTCAAATAGTTATGGTAGACAGTACCAAACGATCTACATCTATTTAACAATGATATTTAGAACTGACAATCTAATTCTCACACCTCAAACCTATTTGACATGTTTATCCTAATATCCCCACTAAAGCTAAAGTCTCCCTAACAAAGAGGCCTTAAACCCATTAGTGTATGGCATTATACAGTTGCTTGTCCATTTATAGCAATCCCAACTAGGTACATCAATAACAATTGACCGGATGTTCCAACAATTAAAATGATCTCATTGGTTTACCAAGATCCCTTATTTCCAAATATATACTCTCCCTAGATAAGTATTTCTCCCCAGTAAAAACTAATCCACATTTACAGAACCAAAGGTAGCAAAAAGAGATCATCATCACAGCTTCTGTACTAAAGAAAGACTAATAATAAAAACTCCATAAATGTACAGAGCATTATCAGTACCTCTAAAATGCCAATCACACATTTCAAATAATTTTATTCCAAAATTTCATACTACACAAACATAGGAAAAAAACAAACACCAAAAAGTTCATTTTTTTTTTGTTGGAAAAATGGACAACGATGATGAGCTTACTGACTGGGAAGGCGAGCAGGGATAGAAGAAAAGGCAGAATGGAGATTATGGGTTTCTTCTGAGCCTTCTTCTGGAAGTGATGTAAGGTTTGATGAATCCATATTTAATGATCACTCGAGAGAATATGTGAACGTTTGTAGGAACTCTGCTATTTCAAGATTGTGAATATTTGAGGTTTATTTTTTAGTCTTCCTGCGATTTGATGGTCATACGTGTCGGGTAAATTTTGCTTCTTCTGTTTTGAAGCCTTTGGGCCACTAGTAAGCCCAGTCCACAAATTGTACTGATTTACTTTCGGCCGAAAATGTATCACAATTATTTCAGTGTTTTCAAAGGCGTCATCAGGGCGCGTTTCCGAGCGCGTATTGAGGCGAGGTGATGGCAAATCGCTCTTGGGCGGATATGGGGGGCGGAGTTCTGTAGGGCGCAGGCTCCAACTGGTCGAGCGTACGCTCAGGCGCGCCTTGGGCCTCACTGAATAGACGCACGCCCAAAAGTTGTCGACCAAATTAGTTCAAATTTCGCAAGAAGAAGAAGAATCAAAGTACAATTAAGTGTTTTTCGTCGCCACAAACATAAACATAAAAATAGGTGTAGGAAAGAAAGAGAAAGACCTGATGTTATTCCAAAAAAAAAGGCAAAATACATAAGTTACCTGAACTATGACCCAAATCCCTATTACATACTTTCTAGGAACGAATATTATCTTATACCCCCAACCTTTTTAAAGTGTATCTAATACACATTGTTTTGCCCACGTAGATAGAGTGTATTTTTCCCAACAAATGAGTCGCGTGAACAGAAGAATTTTGTGTCAGATGTCAATTTTTTTTTAGTTTTTTAAAATTTTAAATTGAGTCATCTTCTTCCTTTTTAAAAATTCTACCATAGCTACTCCTTGAGCTCCACCACCCGATCTCCTTCTTCTCAAATAGATATACCACGATTTCTTATATTTCTTCTCGTTGTAGAGAAGCTTAACTTGAGCTTTACCCATGGCGAAGTCAAATTTTTAGGAAGCGAGAATTTTTCGAAATTTTTTCCAACCATTAAAGCTTAGCTCAAGATTTTGCACATTCTTTAATTTTATTAATGGATGATTTTTTAAATAGTTGACTTGTGGCGATGACAGTTAATGACGGTCGAACTTTTACCGAAGTGAAATGAAAAATGAGTTAGATCTGGGCTCAAAAATTTGATTCAATTTCAGCGGAAAAGATGGAGTTTTGGGTGTGTTTTTCTGGTGATTTTTGTTAATTAATGGTGGCTTTGTTATTAAGTAAAAGGTGGAGGAAGAAGCTATGGTGTTTGATGGTGAGAGAGGAGGAAGACGGCCATGGTAGTTTAGATGAGGAAGATGAGGGGTATAATTGTAGTTTTTATTTTTTTTTAAATGACACATGTCACTGTTTGATTGGTGCGTGATATTGCACATATTCTGAAAAAAAAATTGGTTAAGAAAAAAATGGTGTGTCTTAGATACACTTTGGAAAGGTTGGGTGTGTAAAGTAATATTCGTTCCTGGAAAGTGTAACAGGGATTTGGGTCATAGTTCAGGTGAAACTTATGTATTTTGCCAAAAAAAAGTAGAATTTATGTTCTGATTTTGTGCCATTTCATTTTCAAAAAGCAAAGAGAGCGGGTGAGCATGGAAGTGAGTAGCAATCGGTTCTCATATGCTATTTCAAACTGATGACTTCATCTCCTCAGGTTTTAAAAAATTAAGGAACTTAGTAGCTCCGACTATGGGTTTGAACAGGTCAAAGGCAATCTAAACAAGAAGATGAGTTCTCACAGTATCCAAACCCACTATTTCTTTTCTTATGTTTGGACTTTTGGGTGCTCACCGCAAATGTCTATGAAAGACTCAGTCAATCATACAATGTCCTAAACGCTAAATATGAGATGGTGCACATCTCAACGTAAAACGTGTAATATGAATGATTTTTATCTTTGTAGTTTTTTTTACTTAATTTGTTTCATCTTTCTTTAAGAATTTTCTCATTGTAAGTTTTTCAGTTTTCCTTTTTAGTTTCTTTGACTGGTCTATTGAAATCTTGGCTGAATTAATTCGTCTCTTAGAAAATTTTGATAAGAAATCAAAAGATTAGTGAAAACAGTTGTAAACAATTAGAAATTAATTTAAACATAAATTTGTCTACGTATAAAGAAATATCAAACAAAAGTTCAATTTTAACTTTGAATTTTATAAAAATAATGTACTTTCATTGTATGCTTATGTATTTTAGAAATTTAAAAAATATTAAAAAGAATAGAGATCCATGGGGCTTACGCATCGCCTTATGCTTAGTAAAACGCCTCGCCTTGTGCCTTTGCCTTTTAAAACACTGATATAGAACAATCAAATCAATGTGATGACGCCAAAGCGTAACAACAAAAATGTAATAAAGTGCCAAATTTTAGAACAAATCTCCAATAAATTTGGAGATTCTATTACATTAAAAAAAGAGTATGAGACAAAAATATTAAACAAAATACTATGCTAATAAAAATTTCTATTCACAATGTAATAATACTAAATATTGGATAATATCTATCTATATGGAATAAGAGAACCAAATCAATGTGATAATGGCAAGTGTAACAACAAATATGCAACAAGTGTCAAATTTTAGGACAAACCTCCAACAAATTTGGAGATTCTATTATATTAAGAAAAAGTAGTAGACAAAAATATTAAATAAAGTAATATGCTTGTTTATCCTTAAAATTGGATAACAATTAAACTTATAATGTGGTTTTAAGGACACGTGATTTCACCTAATCATATTATCATATCATCGTCATATCATATCATACTAAAAGTGGGAAGATCCTAAGTAGAAGATTGAATTACCTAAATGCCCACTAAAAATTAATAGACTTTTAGATCCTTATAAAACTAAATAATACCTTAAATTTAGTACACAACATACGTTAGTTATAAGGTTAGTCATGAAATTTTAAAATTCTGTAGATACATGTATCTCAGGTATTGAATTTATACAAAGTTAATTTCTTTTAATTAATACATGTATCACCCCATTATTCCATATAGATCCGGTGCGTTAAACAAACTTTTCTTCTCTTCTCTTATAATGTGAAGCTAGCAATCAAGGAAATGAATAATTCAATATAATAAATAACATTTATTAGGATAATGATCAATGGTCTCTTCAATTCCTTGCAATTATTTTGCTCTATAAAATAAATATAATCTTTGCAAATGCTCAAGTTATTTGAATTTGTGAGAAAATGAAGAGACTGATCAACAACTACGTTGATGGATTGAGGTAGGTTGCAGCTAGGTGTATATATGTCTCTGCTTGTATAATTTTGCTTTATTGTCGTGCCTATGGAAATCTCTATCATTCTTCTAATCTTTGTTTTTTTTTTTTTTGTTTAAAATAGCTACCAAAAGACAAAAACACTTTAACAATTTTATTTTCATTATTTCNGGTTGCAGCTAGGTGTATATATGTCTCTGCTTGTATAATTTTGCTTTATTGTCGTGCCTATGGAAATCTCTATCATTCTTCTAATCTTTGTTTTTTTGTTTAAAATAGCTACCAAAAGACAAAAACACTTTAACAATTTTATTTTCATTATTTCATATATATTAATTTTAGAAAGATCACTTACCTATACCTTAGATTACATCATCTTTGATTTGTTTCTTTTTCCATCTCAAAGAGAGTTTAACATGTTCGAATTCTATTTTTTTTTTAAATTGTCTTTTTGAAATTTTCAAGTGTAAATGAGTTCGTTTCTATTTTTTGGAAAGCTGAGTTACACGGGAAAACACAAAAAGAATCATGGCGAGCTTGTGGACCTTTGGTTAAGTCATGTGCCTTTATGTTAATTTGATTCTTCAAGTTTCAAACTTTGATTAAATTTTATGTTAAGTATTTTATTTGTTTAGCCTTAAAACGCTATTAATTTGACATGAAATTTTTGGACTTCCTTAAATTTTGTGGAGTTCTCTCGTACTTGGTGCTCTTGAATCTTGATGCATGTTTCTCCAAGTTTTAATTTTTTTGTTAAATTATATGTTCTTTAGTAGGTTTTGCCTTGAAAGTGATAATATCCAGAAAAAGATTTTGTAGGTTTTGCTTATTTTTTTCGATTATGTGGTAATTTGTGCACTTATTTTTTTCTTTAAGTTTTAATTTATTTGTTAATCTTCTGTTATTTTGTCTGTTTAACCTCAGTTTTTGCTTCTTATCAGAAAAGTTTTTTATGAGATTTGGTTAATTTTTTGTGATTATGGGGTACATTTTATTTTAGTATCTACGTTGTACTTCAATTTTCTTGAAGTTCTAATAGAGTGTAAATCTATATGCTAAACTAGAAATACGTGCAGTTTATTCTTTATTGTTTTACAAAATTTTAGAATTATAATTTAGGTGTTCTTGCAATCTAAACACATTTTATATATTACAGGAACTCTTACTTTAATTGAACTTCAAAGATAACTTAAATTTGATTGCCCTTCAACTGGCACTTGGACATGTTTTTGCCTTTACTGAAGCACACTATTCATTCTTTGTTTGAATATTATATCAGGCTAACTCTAAGGCCTTATTTGTTTTTTTTAGATTAAGACATCTGAATCTGAATACACATTTGAATATTAAGATATATATTAAGATTAAAATATTTGAATTTGAATACACATCTGAATATTAAGATGTGTATTAATATCTGAATACTAAATGATTAACACAGTTTGATTTTTAATATCTGAATGTATAAAATTTATCTTTATTTGAAAATTTAAAAACGTAAAATTCAAATGAAATACTAATTAATCTAATATTCTATTAATAAAATATATAGTTTTTAAAAATATGATAGTTGTTGGCGGTGATGGCTAATGGGTGAATGCTGATTAGAGGTTGTGGTTGGTGGTAGCTTTGGTTGATGGTGGTGGTTCAGGATAGTAGTTAGTGGTGATTGATAGTGGTGACGATTATGATTGAGGATGATGGTGGTGATAGTTAATAATGGCGGGTGGTAGTAGTAGTTGTAATGGAAGAAGGTGGTGATGGGTGGTGGTAGGTTATAATGATGGACATTGCCGGTTGTGGTTGTTGATGATGATGTGGTGGTTAGTTGTGGTAATTGAGGTGGATGAGTGTTGATCGTGGTTGAGAATGATGATGGTGGGAGTGGTGGGGATGGTGGGTGGTGATAGTCGATAATGGTGGCAGTTATGATTGAGGATGATGGTAGTGGTGGTGGTTGTGGTTGATTATGGTGGTGGTGGCGGCATCGTGGTAGTTGATTATGGTGGTGGCGATGGCATGGTGGTAGTTGATAATGGTAGGCAGTGATGACAGTTAATAATGAATATGGATAATAGCATCTTAATGAAATTAAGTCTCTATTATAGATTTTAATCATACAGACCTATTCAGACCCATTAAGTGATTGCGAAATAAAAAAACAAACACACTTAATGATTAAGATCTGAATAATTAAGATTCAGACTTTAAAAATATATGCA